AAACTGGTTTCAACGTGCCCGAATATGAAATTTTTTCGTATACGACACTAAAGTATCGCAAAAAGAAGATAATTTAGTAATGAATAATTTTTAAATTAGTTTGTATTATATTTACACGATTAGTTTGGGTTGCTTGAACTATAATTTAAAAATATAAAAGCTGATGTACATACACGAACGTGCTTTTTTTATAGGCCAGTACTAAAATCATAGAGGCGAGAAGTTCTCAGGGAATATTTAAATTGTAATAGAGGCATGTTTAACTTATAATGAAATGGAATGAGCAGTTATTTTGTGAGATAATTTATCATAAATGCTAATTTTCCGGTAGACGGAAACTTCAAAGGTGAAGTAAAATTATAAATCATGAGTAAAATGGTATTTAACAACATGCATTTGAAATGAGATTTTTTAGATAACTGCTCGAAAAGAGGTTATCCGTTTTTTAGTGCAATAAATATATATTAATTTTGATTCGTAGCATATAACAGTAAACATAATTGTACCATCTTCCCGGAATATTTGACGAAATAAATGAGATTTTTCTGAGAGAAAGTAAATCGATCCATACACTTTTTCAATAGACATTCTTTGTTAGTAATTCATAAAATAAAACAGTATTACTGAAGTAGAAATAATATCGTACCTCGACGCGTACCTATTTATCAAAAAATTATTCATACATTTTTGCTGAAATCATCCACTTTCTGGGAGGATGAATAAATAATTTTAGTTAATGTTCTGTAATCTCAGATTAATATTTCTAAAATATCGACTATGTAATCTCTAAGATACGTTGTGAAATTGGATGGTTCAAAGTTCGAACTGAAAAATTTCCTTAGTCGAAGTTTAGGTGACTTGTAAAAAATTGTTTCCCAGAAAATTAATTTTATGTCAGTCACGGGCTAATACCTCCTGGAGCGTTTGTTATTAAACAGTAATTCCTAATTAATTAATTAGTTCACAATTATTTATTGTACGAAATATTGATTTAATTAAAAAAAAAAATCAACACAATTATTTATTGAATGGATTTTATGTATATTAAAGGTTTTAGCTTCCTGTAACAGCTAAAACTCAGAATTTTCATTTGTTAAGCTCTCATTTAAAATTTATATATCAAAGTTTCACAGAAAACGTTCGATAGTTTGTGCGTATTGTTATGGCATGTATATTTTAACGCATTATTTAAGAGTTTGAAAAAACATTTAAAATGTTAACGATTTTTCATAAAAATAATTTTGGAAAATTTTCAGAATAAAATGTTTGAACATAATCAGCAATAAACATGGTAACATTGACTTAGAATATCCAAGTTAAGAAAAGTGTTAAAATGCGTACACCTTATTTTAAAAATAAAAAAATAAATAATGTGTGCAATGTAAAAATTCCTGTAAAGGTTAGAAAGGAAAAATGTTCAGCGCTAAGCGACTGTCGAACTCGCGGTTGCCTGTCGTCGGGCATATCCTATTACAGCTATGGAGGGTTGTTCATACATTTTCATTTCCATAATTATATAGTGTCAAGAATAAAATACACAGCAACAATTTTATTTATATAAAAATCGGCACAAAAAATCTTAGGTTTCACTCATCCAGAACATGCGTTTATGAATACTTATTTACAGGTTTCATCTATCGGCACCACCCTACAAATTGGTGTTGGCGAAGTCCTAGTTTCTGGCTTTGTATAATATACAAATAAAATATGTATTTAAACTACAGTGCAAACTTTATTCTGACACCTTCCGTTTTTAAGAAGACGTTATACGTAGGTACATACAATAAGATGGAATTTAGCTCATCTAGTTGCAAATAACAAATCAAGTAAACACGGAATATTTTTCAATTCGAATTCTATTGATTTTGTTATGTAAGTAATTTAAGTAAATTATATGTCACTTAATGAATTAATTAACACGTTACAGAGGTTTGTTTTCTTGATGAAACTTGAAATCCTTTATTTAAGTTTGTGGTTCTAAATTGGCGTTTTTTGTTAGATAATTTGACGTCTAATTTTTTCTTACTTACGGTGTATTTCTGAAGTATTAATAATAACCAATTATATGATATGAAAAAAAAACAGCCTGTATATTAAATGCGAAGCTCATAAAGTCAGTTTAAACTATTTATTAGAAAATAAATAACTTGCGAAAAATTTAGAGCGCAATAATCTATTGTGTGGAATAATATCATGTGTTAATGGAATAACATAAAGATCGATTAAATAAATATTTTTCGGATAAAATGACGTTTAGAAATTATAACTAAAGTAGCTTGCCATATAAAAAATTGTAAATAAATCATGCAGCAAAATAAACCCTTCCATTACGTAAAAAAATATTCTCAAACTTTAGCGAAAACACTAGTTTACAAAGACAATTTATGCCCATATAAATTTTAGATTTACTTCAGAGTTTAAATATTATGGCACATAAATTTAAGGGTGTATTATTAATTTTATTCACCCATAATTCACCTTCACTGCACTGTTGGTATAAATCTTTAATGCAGGCATTCGTTTTAATATGTGGGTCTGAGTGTAGCTAAATTCCAGTCAAAGTTTTGAAGCGTCTGTGTAGCAAGGCGTATGTTCCGAGTGCAGTCACTGACGGAACAGAAAGTTTATAATTAATATGGGTATTATTTTATTTTGAGTTTCAAATAATACAGCACATTATTTAATTTAGTTGTCGTGGTTTGACGTGGGCAAGCGATGAAATTAGTTCCTTAATATAGTTCTAGTTCATGCCAATTTTAAATGAATGTGGCATCTAAATAAATTAATCATTAAATAATTCAGACGTCATTTCATTGTTTTATTTGTTGATCAGTAGATCCATCATAGGTCACATATACAAACACTAATAACAATAAACGTAAATTACAGAACGGAACCCATTTAGTACATCAAATGAAATCATTCATATAAACTTTAAAGTTTGAATTCACTAAATAACCTACAAAATCCTGTACCGAAAAGCAGTTGTGGATTAAAAACCATTTACAGAGAAAACATTAAATTTCGTGTTTAATAGAGATTTAAAAGTTTTAATAAGAGGATTTGTTATACTCATGCGTAACTGATGGACTCTGAATTCTAAAGAGTTGTTTGATTTTCATTTTATGTTTTAATCCGTAATACTTTACATCGATGATGATTCGTAGTATTTAGAACTTTTGAATGAAGTAAAAAATCAAACATGATCCGGAAAAAAATGAAAACCTGTTTAATTTTTTATCAGAATGCAGATGTTAATGTAGCAGTTCACATGTTAAGCAGAAAAAGGGTCACATTCATAGTTCATCGATCTCCAAGAAAAAAATACGTTATGATATCAAAACCCAAAATCTCAAATAAGTAGTTGCAATACTAAAGCATTAGTTCAAATTATGTTGACTATTAGGTTTAGGTCATTATATTTTTAGCGCTACTATTAAAGAATATTTGTAACATGAGAAGGAATTACTGATGCATAAAGTGATGATGATATTAAATTGATTTCTATCAAAATGTCGATTGTAACTGAAATTTTGCTCCTAAAAATGCATGTCTAATTTGCATACAAAAAACGTTGCGTTGCCAGTACCACGGAGAACAGAATAACAAAAGTGAATATCATTATGAAAATTTCTTTGTCTGTTTGGGTTCACAAGTAGATTATGCGTGTGTAGATCAGGACATAAAGGAGGAATATGTCCCTGTCCTGGTAATATAATGTAACGCATTCTGGGAGCCACAAACCACGCCTTTATCATAAGATTTAATGTAAGTGTTGGTCCCTGCGGACCTGCAAATTGGGGTCTCTGCTGAATCCCTTTCTTTGGTTACTCGATTTAATTTTCACGGTTTATGTTATGTTTGCCATTGCACCTTATTATCATTCAGGAGCAGATTATTCTATCGTCCTTTTGTGTTCAGATAAGCTTATGGGTTGTAGCGCTAATAATATGTTTACTGTCATGTAAAAACCATTAGTAAACAACTACCCGCCATAATCATTTGCAACGATAAGGCCCAAAATTTTAGGCCTTGTACTGCTTATTACTTGATTATATGATTATAATTTTCGCTTCATTATACCCAAAATGAAAAATGGTTTTCCAGTTGCATGTAATTTATATGTGTATTAAGGTTTATTAAAAAAAAACACAACTTGTATTTTTTTTATAAAATATTTTCCACATACTTTAGCAAACAAACTTCATGTTGTCTATTTCGCAGTTACATATGAAAATACATTATTAATTTGATGTAGTTCAGTAAATTTTAATTATCATTAAGTAAAGTTCAACTGCAAATCCAAAATCATTGAAGAGCAGTAAAAAGTTTCCCTACGTACACAAACTCGGGCACATAGCTAGAACCTCGTGACTTTTATTTCAAAGTTTTTTACGATTTGAAACATCTATTTGACTCGGTTTACAGAGGCTTAACTAAATATTTATGTATCGTTATAGAATCTCAGTTAAATATTTGATTGCGATTAAATTTAAATTATTTAAATACATTTTTGAAAGTGCGTTAAAGTACCACGTGACCGACTCTGCGCCAATCAGATGCCTCTCAGCACCTCGTTAGACGCGTGATTAAGTTAATCTGAGTTAAAATATAAACTGGCCCTAAGTTTTTTATTAAATGATGATGCCCAAAGCATTATAGAGTGCAAGTAAATTGGTGGAAAACCTAATAAACAAAACAATTTGAATTTTATCCATGAAAATTTTTAACATTTTGACTTTTTTACTCGGTTACGCCTCGTCAAAAATCTTTCGTGTTGGTAAATCACATTTTAAAAACCTAATTTGCACACACTACTTTTACACGTTTATATGTATGTATCTTGTATCATTAGCTGGAGGTTGGAGATTACATTTTATGAATGAAGACTGTTTCTAGGTCATCTAATTTGCAAAGTTCATTAAAATGTAGTGTAGTTTTAAAAATTACAGTCACACTTTTTCTCAATTTAATTCTGTTTGAATTACGTGCATAGTTACCTGCCATTTCGAGCTCCGACGTTGGGAACGTAAGAGGAACTAGCTGTGATGGCCTCATCAGGAATAGTGCCAGACTCCATACCAAGTGGTTCATTGCAGTATCCTAAAACAGAGATACGTGTATACATTTCAGAGTAATATATCCCTCAAGTAAAATTGGACTGAATTTATTATGGAGTTTTAAACTAATGCTAACACAAATTAACAAATCTCCTGTTTGAAGTAGTATAGTTGCTTTAATTAACTTTCCTTTAGTTAACTTCGAAATCTGCTGCCTACTGTATTTAGTTAGCAGACAATTTACTCAAGGATTGAAGTATTAGATCTCTAACAGTAGCCAGTTCACTTTTGTGTATCAGGCAATCTATATATTTTTGCAAAAGTATTTGTTATAATTATGTTTCACTGAATAATTTATATTTTTTTTTTTGTTATCCTATTTTAACTTTGTTGATTTTATAAACGCAACAGGCACATTTAGATCCGATTTACGGAAGTACTTAGTCATGGCATTAATTTAATCACGCACTTAACCGATCACGTGATCAATTTCAACCAGTCTAATTCTCAGATTCACGGATTGATCAGACATCAAATTTTAATTTGAATTAAATATTTAATCTATCTATTTTCACCCTCATTTTTTAACAGCACTTACATCAACAGTTACATTATATTTTGTAATATTTATACAGAGTGGTTGAATACAAAATACAAAAATTATTACCGGTTTCTATCGATTAATTGCATGTTTATATTTATAAAAGTTGGCTGGTAAGAAAGCCATAACTGTATCCTGTATGTAAAATCGGTAGGGTAATATATTACCTTACCGAAATGTCAATTGTCAACATTTGTCAAGGAATTGAAAAGCAGTGAATGTGAAAAGTAACAAATGTAAATAACATTACCGGTTTTATTTAAATTGTTTAATGCTTGACTGATTGCATTTTTAACATTTTCGGGCAATACGTTGCCTAATAAATCTATTATTTTTCTAATTCTGTTCACAAAATTTTTTTGAATAAACAACTAACGTAACTATGACACCGAAATACACGATAATTGCGTAATATATGCAAAAAAAAGGGGGATAGCTCACACTACGATTATGTCACTGTGTATAATTCACGGTCCTAAGTGGTAGCAGTGTCTAGAAAAAATGATTTGAAATTAAATATAAATTGTTATACCTACACGCCGGTGGTAATGTTTGTTGACCTACTTCTTTCAATCAATGGCACACCATGACTCGGATTAAGAACCAAAAAAGGGACTGATAAGCAACGTGCAAAAACAAGAAAATGGCCAGTCATGATCCGTTGCTTACATCGAACGGGCGGGAGTGGGTCGATGGGGAATTTTTCCAGTTCAGAGTGTGTCGATATGGTACTTCTTTATGGTGTGGGCGAACATTTGCATCAGTGATACAGCATCTCCGGGATCATGGTACCTTCAACCTCGAACTCACGATCGTGGACGTGATAGGACAGAAAGAATACTGCAAGCTGAAGAACAAATTTTGGAACGCGACGAAGAAAAGTCCGACATCAGCACTCGTCGACTTGTAGCTGAAGTTGGAGTTTCACAGTTTGTAGTGCATCGTATATTAAAAGGACAAGGCCACGTATGGATGTGGCATGGTATGGACCATGTTCAAAAAGTGCAAGGTTTCGAGCCCGCTGATTGTCCACGCTGTGTAATTTCCTGCAAATAGTTGTTACCGGAGTGTCGTGAACGCCCTAACTTTTTAAAGTGCATTTTGTTTATGGATGAAGCAGAATTCACTCGCCATGGTGTTTTCAACAGCCACAACACTCACATTTGGTCCGATGAAAATCCACATGCTCGTCAACAAGTACGATTTCAAGAGACGGTTTTCGATAAATATGTATCGGTTGGATGAAACAGTTAATTTGTGGAAATCAACCGTGTCCAGAAATTATAGAAGAGCTTCAATAACAAGTGAAAATGGCAGCCGCTACTCCGGTGGTTTTTTTCCTATCAGCAAACATCTTGCGACGCTTTGAAGCCTGTATTGCTAGTCAAGGACAACATTTTCAACATGTCTTGTAAAAAAGTAGTAGTATTTTAAGTTGCTCTTATTTTTGTTCTAACAAGTAATGTAAAATCGTTATCGCAAGGACCAAGCATCCATCAGAATCAAAAGTCGATCACCATGAAGCAATACCAAACATCTTTTCCACTGACCTTTAACGATGAATGGATGCATGAATAAGCAGCAAAATGTCGGTTTTACTTTTAATTGCAAATATCGTTTCTATTCGACCGTTTTTCCACCTTTGTGTACAAGGTGGATCAGTGAGTTCGTATCGAGGGTGGTTTATGCGGGTTTTGCCCCATTCGATTTTTAATTTGTTTTTTCTATATTTCCACACTACTTCGTTACGTCATGCCGTGGTTAGAATTATTGCATATATTCCGAAATCACCCTGTACATCTTGCAAACATGATCAACCAAATTTATTTATTTTTTAATTAATTTTTGGATTATTGGATTAAAATGGACAGAAACCGATAAAATCTTTAGCACACCACGGATGTGGTGTGCCGTCTAAATGGACGGCTCCGGCGGTTATGGCACTATTTACATCCTATGTATGTTAATACCTATAACAAGTAGAATTTAATTTTAAAAATATTAAAAATTTATATACATAAAAGATATCTTGGTAGACTTTTCTTAGATCATTTGTTCTGATTTTCTTTTATTTTTGAGGTTCGTCAAAACTGATTTAAATTGTTAATATTTACAACTATTGTTAAAATAGTATTGTAGTAGTTTGTCTTTAAGTTTAAGACGAATGAAACGTTATTGGTAACATTTATTCTAGCATCAAAAGTTAAATATTGAAAACATATATTTTAGTGCTCAACGTTGAAGAATCTGTTGACACTATTACTGAAACATTATAGGAGTAGTATTTTGTTATAAACCTCAATTAATTTAATTTCAATCTGAATTCACAATATCTAATTCAGGGGTGGTTTATGAGTTGAAAGGTTAATGATGTTTAATTTAAAATACTTTGAGTTGTAACATCACGTATTACCAGGTACTTACGCAATTAATACGTTTGTAATAAGTACGTTTATATGTTCTTAGATTGATTTGTTGTATATCACATCAATGTTACCAACAATAGACATGTTAGGTCTAAAAATCAGATTTTCCTATATATTTTGACTCTTTGCGTTCGTAGTTTACATTCCTCCTTCTACTAACCTCAACGATTACGATCAACAATTACGAGTTTCTTCTAAATTTATTTAACGCCGTGAAAAGTCACATCTGGACAATGTTGTTGTTCTTCGTGACTTTAACATACCCGATTTTTATCTAATATTAACATTAGAACTACGATCTTGTTCAAAAATTTTGCCCATTTTCACAATCTTTTTCACAAATTCAACTGCATTTTAGACTTGCTATTCTTTAATCTTTAATGCTCTGTAAATCACTCTGATCTCCCCCTTGCACCAAGCGATGACTACTATCCTGCTTTAAATCTCTCCAGTGCACAATAAAATCCTCTCGTCATTTTGTTATGAATTCAAATTAGATCTACTTTAATTTTTAAGTTAACTTTACATTATTAAACGATTTGCTTCTTTCTACCGATTAGAGTTTTTTCAAAAGGTGACCATCCCTAAGTTCAGTTTTAAGAAAGAAGGCGATTGACATCTTTCTTGGTTTGACTTTGAGATTATAAAATGTTACCTTTAAAAACGCTTTTCATAATAAATTCAGAAAGTATAAAGGCTAGTATTTCTAGGATGTATTTTAAGCACTACAGATCTAAGTGAAAATTCTTATTCAAACAAACTGTTTCAGATGGAATACGAGCCCGTGATTGGTTAAAACATGCGCGTTGCCTCACAACGGACCTCAATTAAAAGTTAATCGCGAATTAAGTTTAACTTCGCTTTCTATAAATCGGGTCTTAATGTTTTTGCCTCTTTCGTCAAAAAGATCAGGTTTGACTTTTCTCATTCTTGTATCGTAAACCATATTGACTTGAGCAACATCACAATAAAAAGTGGGAATATAACAAAAGACGAAATACTGGAAGCTTTAAAACGATCCAAAGATTCTCCAATCGCAGGCGTCGATAATATTCTCAGCTTAAACACTGTGCATCGATTTTTGCTAAACTTATCCATTGTCTGTTCGATCTTATCATCAAAACTTCATGGTTTCCCGATATTTGCAAGGAAGCTACAGTTACTCCAATATTTAAAATAGACGACTCATCCATGATTGAAAGGCTGTCTAATATGTTTTCTCTGTAAATTTTCCAAAATTTTTGTTTTTAGACCCTTGTATGAAGAAAAAATCTACGGTTACAAATCTGTCTTCTTTACTTAGTACATTTCGAAAGTAATAGACCAAAACAACCAAGTAGATTTTATATACCTACGTAGATTTTAGTAAAGCTTCTGATCAGGTTGATGATTATATACTTATACTGCTTGGTAAAATATTTTCGAATTTTCGGATTCTCTGCTTCTGGTGCTTGAGTCTTACTTGCTTAACAGAAAGTTTTTAGTTAAATACCGTGCATTTGTTTCCGGGCCGCTTCGTCTTAAATTAATATCTAGTAATTTGAACTTAGTTTAACTGATTTATGTGACGTAAATAATGACTCCTTCAAACACAAAAGACCCTCTTTTTATTATAACAATTTGTACCATTATGGCTATTATTTTCTCTTTGTTTCCTATAGTTGGGTGCTTACCGATTGGAAATAAACATTGTTATTATTATTCATTGCAATGTACAGTATTTAAAATGTTTGTCATCAAGTTTGTACACAGTTCATGTACAATGGGCAGAACTAAATAGTGTTTAATATTATTAATTAATTATTTATTAGACTGCTTGCAAACAGTACAACGTAAAAAATATTTATTCTCAGTCTTTAATATTCTAATTGATTGTGAAAGGTGTGAAACACCCTTAGAAACGGGGAAGTTATTATTAAACAAAAAAAAGCCTGTTGATTACTGTGTATGTTACTAAATTAGCAATATTATTTCCTGGAAAACAAGAAATATGATTTTCAAAGGTGTATTTTTGGT